GGAAGACTGTAGTTTTGTTATCTTTTACAAAATTTAAAAAAATAATATATCAAATGTTGGATAATTTCATACATTTTGAGAAAATGTGGATATCTATATAGATATATGTATGTTCTGTGGATATATCTATATATAGGCCATCTTGATGTAGCCGCCTTGGCCCCACGAGTTCTTGACCAGCCAGTAGTCTTGGCCGTCGTCGTCGGTTGATATCAACATGTTAATTTTAAGAGAATTAAAATTGAGACGACTTTATATTTTGTTGAAAATCTCCAAAAATTTGTACTGGGGCCTATATATATAGATATATCTATATATATAGGCCCCAGTACAAATTTTTGGAGATTTTCAACAAAATATAAAGTCGTCTCAATTTTAATTCTCTTAAAATTAACATGTTGATATCAACCGACGACGACGGCCAAGACTACTGGCTGGTCAAGAACTCGTGGGGCCAAGGCGGCTACATCAAGATGGCCAGGAACCGCAACAACACCTGCGGCATCGCCACTCAAGCCAGTTACCCCATGGTTTAACTGTAATTATTCTTAGGTTTAGGTTTCGTGATATGCCAATGAATTCAATACTGGCTGTGTTCCATTAATACGGTTGATTGTATGTGTAATTACGTGTGAAGTAAATAAAAGGATTTTTATAAGTTTTTATTTTTTATTATTTAAAAACCTTCATATTTCAGGTGTCTAAAATTATAATCTTGACAACTAAACTTACAATTAACAATCTAACATCACAAATATCACCTTCCACTATAAGTGATGGTGTGCCTCAAGGATCGCTTTTGGGACCTGCATCCCTATTGTAAATGACCAATAGAAACCAATAAAAAATAAGTAATTGGTTTTAAATGGTTTGAAATGTGTTTTGGCGCTATGAATCACCAATTCATTCCAGTTGAATTCCTATTGGTAATTTCCAATGAAGTCAGCGGCTTGAATTGGGAAATACCAATAGAATCCAATAAAAAATAAGCAATTGGTTTGAATTGGTTTGAAATGTGTTTTGGCGCTATGAATCACCAATTCATTCCAGTTGAATTCCTATTGGTAATTTCCAATGAAGTCAGCGGCTTGAATTGGAAAATACCAATCCATGCCTACGCTTGTCTCTATTGGCTAAATCCAATAGAAATGCACATGGAATGAATTGGTAATTCATAGCACCAAACCCATTCCAACCAATTTAAACCAATTAATTTTTTAAAATTTGGATTAGAAAATACCTACCAGTTTATTTTTCATTCAAAAATAATTTTAGATCCCAGAAGGATAACCGGGTAAAAACCAGAATTCATTTTTTACAGAAGAGACAAAAAATTTATTGTTACTAAGTAATTTTATTTATTTATTATTTTTTTTGTGATATATGTACATATGTATTAATACATATAACTTACTATCGCCTAAATCCCTAAATCTTACACAATGTAATGTTACACATATAAACATTTTTTTAATATATAAGTAGACTACTAACACTAGGCACTTAACACTGAAATGTAATGTTACACATATAAACATTTTTTATTATATAAGTAGACTACTAACACTAGGCACTTAACACTGAAATCGACTAATAAAATAAACCGCTAATAAATGGCGTCCAAAGACGTTTTTTCTTTATGATGGCGTCTCAACCTCGTTGATTTTGCGCAGCTACACGAGAGCCCTCTTGCGATATTTGTATTGTATTGGGAATGCCCAATTGAATTCAATTGGAAATTACCTATAGGTAGCTTTATCCAATCGAAACCAATAAAAACCATTAGAATCCTAACTGGTATTTTCCATCATGGAAAATACCAGTAAAAACCAATTTCTGTTTTATATCGCGCCCAATTAAATCCAGTAAGTCCAATTCAGACCCATTGATACCAACCAATACTTCAATTGGTTTCTACAGGAATTAATCGGTCATTTACAACAGGGATTGTTCCTGGCATATCTAAATGATATACATCCCAAGATAATGAACAAAATATAAAGTCATGTCAATTGTAATTCTCCTAAAATCAACACCAACTTTGTAAGTCTGTAGTTTTGTTATTTTTCACCCAATTTAAAAAATAATTATATCAAAAGTTATATAATTTCAAACACTTTGAAAAAATGTAAATATATTATTATGACCCAATACTATTTTTTCTAGATTTTCAACAAAATATAAACTCGTGTCAATTTTAATTCGTTTAAAATTAACACCAACTTTGGAAGACTGTAGTTTTGTTATCTTTTACATAATTTAAAAAAATAATATATCAAATGTTGGATAATTTCATACATTTTGAGAAAATGTGGATATCTATATAGGCCCCAGTACAAATTTTTGGAGATTTTTAACAAAATATAAAGTCGTCTCAATTTTAATTCTCTTAAAATCATCATGTTGATATCAACCGACGACGACGGCCAAGACTACTGGCTGGTCAAGAACTCGTGGGGGCCGTCGTGGGGCCAAGGCGGCTACATCAAGATGGCCAGGAACCGCAACAACACCTGCGGCATCGCCACTCAAGCCAGTTACCCCGTGGTTTAATTGTTATTGTTCTTAGGTTTAGGTTTCGTGATATGCCAATGAATTCAATACTGGCTGTGTTCCATTAATACGGTTGATTGTATGTGTAATTACGTGTGAAGCAAATAAAAGGATTTTTATAAGTATTAATTTCTTATTATTTAAAAACCTTCATATTTCAGGTTTCTAAAATTTTAATCTTGACAACTAAACTTACAATTAACAATCTAACATCACAAATATCACCTTCCACTATAAGTGTGCCTCAAGGATCGCTTTTGGGACCTGTATTGTTCCTGGCATATATAAATGATATACATCCCAAGATAATGAACAAAATATAAAGTCATGTCAATTGTAATTCTCCTAAAATCAACACCAACTTTGTAAGTCTGCAGTTTTGTTATTTTTCACGCAATTTAAAAAATAATTATATCAAATGTTATCGATTCGGAACTCGAATCGAATAATTCGAATTATTCGAAAGTTCCCGAATAATTCAAAAAATTTCGAATGATTCGAATTTTTTTCGAATAATTAGAAATTTTTCGGAATTATTCGTAAACTATTATATTATTAGCGCATTTTCGAGTATTTTGAATTCAGGGTTTCTTATGTTCAATTTTCAAACATGAATTTAACAGTCAATATACATTTTATTCAAACCATAAAATATAGTTGCACAAATAAAACAATAAGTAGTTTTTTTTTAAAGAGAATGAAATAACAGAAATTATATCGTAGCAAATACGAATACGAAAAATACAACATTTGAAAATATGTTACAAATTTTTGTTCAAAAATAATAAATACGATACATAAGTAACGTTCTACTTATAGATTTTTTTTAAACAAAATTTAATAATTAATAAGACCAAAACAAATGGAAAATATCCCTTGCCAATATTACCATCCAGATTTTTTATGTTACCGAGCAAATATTGAAAATGAGCAATTGTTTTCTCTAGGGAATTGATTTTTAAACGAAAAGTATATTATTCGTAAGTAGAATATTTCGATTAACGATTTAAAGGAATTTAAATGGAAGCAATTGAAAATCGAGAGATCTTTCATTATTTCTCAAATTATTTAAATATTATTTAAATATCAATTGATAATCTTCGAATTGTTCGAAATTTTTCGAATTATTCAATTTTTTTCGAATTATTCGTAAATTTCGAAAAATCAAATTATTCGATTCGAATTTCGAATCGAATATCAATATTCGATTCGAACGATATTCGCGCACCCCTAAATGTTATATAATTTTATACACTTTGAGAAAATGTAAATATATTATTATGTCCCAATACTAATTTTTCTAGATTTTCAACAAAATATAAATTCGTGTCAATTTTAATTCGTTTAAAATTAGAAAGACTGTAGTTTTGTTATTTTTACCCAATTTAGAAAATAATATATCAAATGTTGGATAATTTCATACACTTTAAGAAAATGTAGAAATTTTTAAAGATTTTCAACAAAATATTAAGTCGTCTCAATTTTAGTTATCTTAAAATCAACATCAACTTTGGAAGTTTCCTTAATTTTTACCCAATTTAAAAAATAATTATATAAAATGTGAGATAATTTTATTTACTTTGGGAAAATCTAAATATCGTTATATGCTTCAGTACTAATTTTTAAGATACTTAATTTTTACATTTTCTTATAATTTTGGAAGTTAATAAAACAATTTTTAGAAATTTAGGTTTTTAACTTTATTTAAAAACATTTGTTCCTACAGCTTCATTTATACTTTTAAAGCCAACTTTCTTTAAAAGTGGCTGTGTTCCATTAATACGATTGATTGTATGTGTAATTGCGTGTGAAGCAAATAAAAGGATTTTTATAAGTTTTCATTTTTTTATAATTTAAAAACCTTCATATTTCAGGTGTCTAAAATTTTAATCTTGGCAACTAAAGTTACAAGTTAACATTCTAACATCACAAATATCACCATCCACCAAGTGATGGTGTGCCTCAAGGATGTGCCTTTGGGGATCTGTATTGTTCCTGGCATATATAAATGATATACATACCAAGATACTGAACAAAATATAAAGACATGTCAGTTGTAATTCTCCTAAAATCAACACCAACTTTGTAAGTCTGCAGTTTTGTTATTTTTCACCCAATTTAAAAAATAATTATATCAAATGGTATATAATTTCATACACTTTCAGAAAATGTTATTATATTATTATGTCCCAAAACTAATTAAGTTTCCTTAATTTTTACCCAATTTAAGAAATAATTATATCAAATGTGAGATAATTGTATTTACTTTGGGAAAATCTAAATATCGTTATATGCTTCAGTATCTACTAATTTTTAAAGATACTTAAAAAATGTAGTCTGGTCAATTTACACATTTTCTTAAAATTTTGATTGTAGGTATTTTTATTTTTTGGCCAATTTTAGAAATAATTATATCACATGATTTATGATTTGGAAGTTAATAAAACGATTTTTAGAAATTAAGGTCTTTGACTTTATTTAAAAACATTCGTTCCCACAGCTTCATTTATACTTTTAAAGCCATCTTTCTTCAAAAGTGAAACCAACTCCTTTTTAATTTTATCGACAATAGGAGGGCCTTCGTAAACCAGCGATGTATAAATTTGAACAACTGAGGCGCCAGCTTTAATTTTTTCGTAAGCGTCTTGTCCAGTGGAAATTCCTCCAACTCCTAAAACAAAAATGTTGTCGAATATTCCCCTGATTTTCTCCCATATAATAATGTAGCGAGTACCGCTCTGGATATCGGAGTGATGACTCATCGCCGGTTAGTCATCGCCGGTGAGTCATCGCCGGTGACTCAGCGCTCGAATAATCGAGAGTGTGGAGCTCGCTGGAATGTTCCAGAAGACTTGAGCGCTAAATATATAAGAAACGGAGCAGCACACGGCAGTCAGTTATGATTTGGTACTCGCGGCGAAATAAATAAATATAAGTGCAAATAAACTAGTAGTGATATAAATAATTAGTAGTTAAGTGTTTAGTTAGTTTTATAGTGTTTTAAGTGTAGTTAAGTTATTAAATAAATAGTTTAGTTCGTTAATTAACCAGTGCGTGTTTTAATTCACACTACGAACAGTTTAAAAACGTTACAATTGGTGTCAGAAGTGGGATTAGTGTGAAATTTCGCGAAAATGGTTTCGTTAATGGACTTAAAAGTGGCAGACCTTAAGCGGGAGCTAGAAGAAAGGGAATGTGATACAACTGGAAAAAAGAATGTGTTGCAGCAGCGGCTTCGAGAAGCGTTGGAGCAGGAAGGTGAAAATCCAGATACGTATTTATTTGAAGGTTCGTGTGATATGCATTTATTGTTGCAAAATTTAAAGGATGATTTGCAACAGAAAATGGTGGAAAATTCTAGCGATTTGAAAATCGATTTACAACAGAAGATTCTGGAAAATGTCAACGAATTAAAGGACGATTTGCAAAAGAAAATGCTGGAAAATTCTAACGATTTACAACAGAAAATTTTGGACAATTCTAACGAGTTTCAACAGAAAATGCTAGAAAATTCTAAAAACCTAAAAGAATATTTGGAAGGGAAGATTCTAGATAATGTTAAGGAATTAAAAGAGGACGTAAGGATGGAATTAAATAACGTAAGGATGGAATTGAATGACGTAAGGATGGAATTGGATGATAAATTGGAAGTCAAAATTAAAGAAATAAATAGTAAACTGACAGCTGTAAATCTACCCATGATGCTGGCGGAACCAGGAACAATGCCAGAGGGAAGCCGAGTACGGATGAAACCACCTCAGTTCGATGGAAAAACTTCTTGGACCAACTACATCCGTCAGTTTGAGGCAGCAGCAAAAGCAATGGCTGGCTACCAGAAGAGAAAGCTACAGCATTGACTCTGGCTTTACGCGGAGATGCAACGGACATCTTGCAGACGCTTTCTCCCAACGAACAAGAAGATTACGAAGCGTTGGTGAAACATCTGGAACTGCGATATGGTCAGACACATTTGGAACATGTCTACCATTCCCAACTTAAAAACCGCTGCCAGAAATCAAACGAGACTTTGCAAGAATTTGAGGCTGATATTGCACGCTTGGTTCGGCTAGCATATCCAGCTACTCCAACGACCGTTATGGAACGATTAGCGGTTCAAGCCTTTTTGGATGGACTTCGGGACAACGAAACAAGACAGGCTCTGACGTTGGCTCGTCCGAGCCAACTGGTTGATGCATTGGCCCGAGCTTTGGAATTCGAGGCGGCAAAGCAGAGCTGCAGGAGCCAGCATAGAATTAGGAGAGTCGAGGAAGAAAAAGAGGAGGAACCCAGTATAATCGAAGAAATCAGGCGAGTTCTTAAAGAGAATCTACCAGAAAAGAAGGAAATCCGGTGTTGGAGATGTGGAAAGCTCGGACATATACGAAGTCGTTGCAGAAAAAGCCAGGAGGCGCCGACTTCATCTCAGTCGGAAAACTAGATAGGGTCGAGGAAAAGGGGCTACCGTCGACCTGTAACCAGCATGCCCCAGAGGATATCGAACGTGTTGCATCTCTTCTACACCAGTCCAGCAGTGTTTTTGTGGATGGTTTAATTAATGGAAAATTACATGTGCTGCTGCTGGATACAGGTGCGACGAAGACAATTATTAGACCGGATATTGTCGAAATGTCCAAGATCAAACCTACCAATCGGCGACTACGTACTGCAACAGGAGAAACCGCTACTGTTCGTGGAGAAGTGGACATCACGATGGTCATAGGAAATACGAAATTTAAACATCGAGCATTAGTTGCAGATATTGAAGATGAAGTTATTATAGGCATGGACATTATGAACTCAATAGGATTTGAACTGAACTTTAAGCAAGGAATATTGAGAGTAAATGGAGAGGAAGTCGTGTTGCATCGATCTAAAGAAAAGAATATTCGTGTAATGCTAACAGAAGATGCTTTGATACCGGAAAACAGCGAGATGATATTGAAGGCTTTCTTGGATTGTAAATCAGAAGATGGAAGTATAATGCTTCTGGAGCCGATAATTGATGACAAAGAGGTCGGTCGAGGAATTGTAGTAGGGAAGACTTTAATACGTGTCGGAAAAGAAGTGCCTGTTAGAGTATTGAATGTTAATGGTTACTCTGTGAACTTGAAGAAAGGAATCGTTTTGGGGAACTGTTCTTCGGTTTCCTCGATTATTAGAGGCATTCGTGAATCTGCAGTCCCGGCCAAGAAAGTGAGCAATGAATTGATGAATCTTCTGTCGACTTCTTTAAAGGATGTGAAGCCCAATGAAAGAATAAAGCTAAGAGAGCTGATACACAATTATCAGGATGTTTTTGACGACGGACAAGGAAAGAAGGGTAGAACAAAAACTGTCCAGCATAAAATTAACACCGGTGATGCGCAGCCCATTCGACAGTCGGCAAGAAGGCTACCTCTTGCTAAGCGAGAGGAAGCTGATAAAATAGTGCAAGAAATGGAGAAGGAAGGGGTGATCGAACCATCCAACAGCCCATGGTCTTTACCAGTGGTGTTAGTTAAGAAAAAGGATGGATCAACTCGATTTTGCGTCGATTTTCGTCAGCTGAACAACGTGACGAAGAAGGACAGCTACCCTCTACCTAGGATCGATGACACCCTGGACACATTGGCTGGATCGCAGATATTTTCAACTTTGGATTTAAAGAGCGGTTATTGGCAAGTTGAAATGGCACCAGAAGATAGAGAAAAGACGGCGTTTACCGTGGGTGCTGGACTGTGGCAGTTTACTGTCATGCCGTTTGGATTATGTAATGCTCCTGCAACTTTTGAAAGGCTCATGGAAATGGTTTTGAAGGGACTATCCTGGAAGACATGCTTGGTGTACCTTGACGACATCATTGTGGTTGGTAAATCATTTGAGGACCATATGAAGAACCTGAAGGAAGTCTTTCAGCGCTTAAGAAGTTCCGGCCTGAAGCTAAGCCCGAAGAAATGTCACTTGTTCCAGAGGGAAGTGCAGTATTTGGGCCATGTTGTTTCGAGTCAAGGAGTGGCAGTGGACAAACAGAAGGTGAAGACGGTGCGAGAATGGCCAGTACCGAAAAACAAACATGACTTAAGAAGCTTTCTTGGATTATGCACCTACTACCGTCGGTACGTACCAGGATTCGCAAGGGTTGCTAAGCCTTTGACACGTTTAACAGAGGGAGAAAGACGATTTCAATGGGACGAAGAATGCCAAGAAGCCTTTAAGAACCTGAAAAACGCGTTGTCCAGCTCACCAGTACTAAGTTATCCTCTTCCGGATGGTGAATTTATTTTGGACACGGACGCCAGCAATGTAGGCCTGGGAGCTGTTTTGTCGCAGATTCAAGAAGGAAAAGAGAAAGTTATTGGATACTTCAGCAAAACTCTATCGAAACCAGAGCGAAATTACTGTGTTACTCGACGAGAGTTGTTGGCAGTGGTAAAATCAGTCGAACACTTTTACAAGTACCTGTATGGAAGAAAATTCTTGCTAAGAACGGATCATGCTGCCCTAAAATGGCTTTTGCAATTCAAGAATCCTGAAGGACAGGTAGCAAGATGGATTGAGAGACTACAGGAGTTCGACTTTGACACAGAACATCGGGCTGGGAACATCCATAGAAATGCTGACGCCTTGTCAAGAAGACCGTGCCCGGAAGACTGTAAACATTGTCTCAGGGCCGAAGAAAAGGATGTGTTTGTTCGCAGGACTACAATCGTGGATGATCATTGGCAATCCGCTGAGGTTCAACAAGACCAAGAAAGGGACCCGGATTTGAAGCTTATCATCGATTGGAAGAAGAACGACCGTAAACCAACGTGGCAGGAAGTCGCCCAATATTCGCCAAATGTGAAATCGTACTGGGCCCAATGGAATTCCATCATCTTAAGTGACGGACTTCTAAAGCGCGTTCTGGAGATGCCAGAAGGGGGGGAAGACCGGAAGCAGATAATTATCCCCAGAAACAGGATACCAGAAGTGCTGCAGGAAATCCATGATGGAACTACTGGAGGACATCTTGGGGTGACCAGGACGCTCGGAAGACTTAGGGAACGGTTTTATTGGGTCAACAGCCAACGAGATGTAAAGGAATGGTGCAAGAAGTGCGCCGTTTGCGCGGCAAGCAATGGACCCCAGAAGCGCCCAAAAGCCCCAATGCGACAGTACAATGTGGGCAGCCCATTTGAGAGAATTGCAATCGACGTGGCGGGTCCATTTCCGGAAACAGAATCTGGAAATAAATACATCATCGTTGTAATGGACTACTTTAGCAAGTGGGCGGAAGCGTACGCCTTGCCAAACCAGGAAGCCGCCACAGTAGCCGATGCCCTTATTAAGGAGTGGATTTGTCGTTTTGGTGTCCCAATGGAAATGCATTCAGACCAAGGCAGGAACTTTGAATCTATATTGTTCCAGAATGTGTGTAAGATTCTTAACATTCGGAAGACGAGGACGACCGCATTACATCCGCAGTCTGATGGAATGGTGGAACGAATGAATCGAACGATAAACCGGTACTTGTCCAAGGTAGTCTCTGATCACCAAAGAGACTGGGACCACTTCCTCCATCTGTTCCTGTTGGCGTACCGTTCTTCTATTCACGATACAACCGGCCAGACACCCGCTAGCATTGTTATGGGACGTGAACTTCGTCTACCTTGTGACTTGAGGTTTGGTTGCCTACCAGGGGAAGACATTGCTGGAGAAGATTACGTTAGCAATTTACGTAGGAAAATGAGCGACATTCACAGCCGAGTTCGTTTAAACATTCAGAGTGCCAGTGATGGAATGAAAGAGGCATATGACATCAAGGCGGAAAATGGAGGATTTCAACCTGAAGACCTAGTTTGGTTATACAACCCTCAGCGCCGTCGTGGTTATTCACCGAAGCTGCAGACTTCTTGGGAGGGACCATACGAAGTCATGGATCGAATAAATGACATCATCTACAGGATCAGGAAACAACCAAGAGGAAAGCCGAAAGTGATCCATTTCAACCGATTGGCCCCTTACGCTGGAAACAATGACGATGCTAGAGTAAGGAGAGTTAATCCGCCGGAAGACGAGTTGCCTTTTGAAGACTTCATGTATTTATATTCGAGCGGTAAAAAAGCTCGGTATGGTGTCACTCGAGAAGAACAAAAAGATCTATTCACGGTTTCGGCCCATTACTCCTTGGCTCACTGTGTTGCAGAAGACCTAAGGATGTCCAGGGGAATAGCGGTTGTTTTTAAAAACAAGTTTGGACGGATCGACGAGCTACGAAGGCAGAATCCCAAAGTTGGAGAGGTGCTTGAAATTGTGAATAATGAGCAGATAGGCAATAGAAGTATCTTCTATCTGGTAACGAAGCAGCTCTCCCATCAGAAGCCAAACTACCGTGACGTATGGAATGCCTTAAATAAATTGAGGGATGCCCTTTTATCCAAGGACATCATGAACCTGGCGATACCGAAGATTGCTTGTGGACTTGACGGTTTAGACTGGAGAATAATTAGAAGTATGGTGGAAGTTATCTTCAGATTTAGTGGCATACACATTCTTGTCTGTTGCCACAACCCTAACAGAACAACCGGAAGGAAGACCGTAGACTGCTACTTCTATAGGACGTCACAATGCAAGTTTGGATCTCTATGCAAATATCGCCATGGAGCTGAGGACCATTTTCGGGACGAAAATGTTTTAAGACGGGGGCAATGTAGCGAGTACCGCTCTGGATATCGGAGTGATGACTCATCGCCGGTTAGTCATCGCCGGTGAGTCATCGCCGGTGACTCAGCGCTCGAATAATCGAGAGTGTGGAGCTCGCTGGAATGTTCCAGAAGACTTGAGCGCTAAATATATAAGAAACGGAGCAGCACACGGCAGTCAGTTATGATTTGGTACTCGCGGCGAAATAAATAAATATAAGTGCAAATAAACTAGTAGTGATATAAATAATTAGTAGTTAAGTGTTTAGTTAGTTTTATAGTGTTTTAAGTGTAGTTAAGTTATTAAATAAATAGTTTAGTTCGTTAATTAACCAGTGCGTGTTTTAATTCACACTACGAACAGTTTAAAAACGTTACAATAACTTACCAATTATGGGTACACTTCTGTGCGTTAACCTGGCCATGTCTCTGATCATTTCAGTGGAAACCTGCTTCAAAGGTTCCCCACTTAATCCGCCGGTTTCGTTTTTGTCCGATACATTTATCAGCGAACTTGGTCTTTCAATTGTCGTATTGGAAATAATAAGGCCGTCAACTTTGCATTCCGGTTTTTGTATAACTTCGGCCACATCCTTTCTCTCCTGGAAACTCAGATCGGGCGCCAGTTTTAGCAGAAGAGGCGGTTTTTCTTCCAAACTGTTTCTTGTTTCGACCAGTGCACAAAATAATTCTCTTAGAGATTCTTTGCTTTGAAGTGACCTCAAGCCTGGAGTGTTGGGACTGCTAACATTTATGACTAAATAATCAGCAACAGGGCCAAATTTCTTTATACCTTGCACATAATCATTAATTGCATCCGTGGAAGTTTTATTTTTTCCCAAATTTACCCCTAAAATTCCATCAAAACCTGAACTTTTAATGTTTTTTATCCTTTCATAAACTGCATCATGCCCATCATTGTTAAATCCATACCTAAAGTTTGAAATCTAATAGTTATTTTCCTAAAACACCTTTTTTTCGTTAGGTATCTGCCACTTTCAGTGTAATTGAGGTTAGGTATCTGTCGCTGAGTACAATTGAAATTTTTTCCCCGATTTGAAAAATTATTATGAATCTTAATAGATTTTCAACAAAATACAGGTTGTTATATAATTAATGTAATACATTAAATTGGGTAGTTCCTTAAACTTTTTTTTCTCTTAATTCTAAAGACTAAAAATAATTTATAACCTTTTTCCTACCAAAAAGTACGCCACTGATCGACTAGGAACTCTAGGCTAATCTGGTTGCCTAATTTATTATATTATGTTATGGTTGGTAACAACCAGCGTTTCCAGATTCTGTCAAAAAAGTTGTCAAATTTTGTTTAAATTACAAAAATGAAAAAATCAACAATGCAAATTGTTAATTTGCTGTTCTTATTAATTGTTTATTATGTCATTTTTGTAATGAAGGTAAATTCAAACAAAAAATTTTAGGCTATGTGTTCAAATTGTAAATATCTTAACTAAGGAAAGTGCTTTTGGATTTATTTACACAAATTGAATGTTTAAAGTTTTAACTGTGAACTAATTTCATCTGAGTAAACAGAATGAAAAAATCGATGAAAAAATATTTTTGTGGTTATGTAGTTTTTAAAATAGGTAGTAAGTTTTCCAATCATTGCTTAAGCTAATAGCTGGATGAGTAAATAAATACAGAAGGGTATTCCCTGATAGCACACTTTATTCTTAGAATGTTTTTTAAACCTTCCAGTGAGAATATTCTTACTGGCCTATAGGCATGTTCTTAGAAGGTGCAAAGTTTTAGTGGTAAAAATTAGTCTACTAGTCTAATATATGCATGCTTAGAATGTTAAGAAAGTAATTGATATAGAAAGTTCATTTAGGAATATCCCTGTTAAGCATATTTAGTTACCTATATAATAGTAAAATATACCATAAACTACATATAATAGCTATACTTAAGTACCTAATTAGTAATTTGTATTAAATACTAAGTAAAAAACACAATCCAAAATATTTTTTTATAGTTATTTGTCAAATTAAAACAATATTTGATAACAAAGATACTTTTACTATAGAGCCATTCCACGCGTAACGGATACTACAGTTGCCGTGTTTTTATTTACAAAATAATATTGTTCTATTATATTACCAATGTCAAATTTTTATAAATAGTTCTAAACTAAAGCTGTTTAACAAGGTTTTTATTTGGCAAAATTAGGTATCGTAGTTGACTCTTTAATTCCTTAAAAACTAATAATTTAAAGCGTAACGGTCGGGACTTTGCAATAGTCCCGCCCGTTACGCTTTAAATTATTAATTTTTAAGAAATTAAACAGTCAATCACGATACCTAATTTTGCCAAATAAAAACCTTGTTAAACAGCTTTAGTTTAGAACTATTTATAAAAATTTGACATTGCCCAGATAGCACAAGATGTCCTGAGGACATCCGGTTTAAATCCTTAACAGACGGTCGCGACCAGAAAACCGATGGACGTCCTGAGGCCTAGGCCTATGGACGTCCTAAGGCCTAGGCCGATGGACATCCTGAGTACGTCCATCGGTTTTTTGCCTGCGACAATAGTTGAAGATACAAGTTGATATATCACCCTTTATAAAGGCCTTTATAAAAGGTGATATATCAATTTGTATCTTCAACTATTGTCGCAGGCAAAAAACCGATGGACGTACTCAGGATGTCCATCGGCCTAGGCCTTAGGACGTCCATAGGCCTAGGCCTCAGGACGTCCATCGGTTTTCTGGTCGCGACCCGGGTCTAAGTGAAAAAAAATTACACCTTGTTTTTTATTAAAAATACTCCTTAATCAAGCACGATAAAAGATTTTAAAAAAAGTTGTCAATTTTTTTTCACTTATATGTCTATAGATAGACCCTTTATCCACTTAAGTGGAATTGTGTCTTTAGTTGTCAAGTATTTTTAGCAATTGCAATTTTCCATATCTCTAACTTATTTAAAAATATCTAGTAAAATTAATTAATTCATTGCATTAAAAATATCATTACAAATTTTAAAAAATTATTTTTAATTATATTATACTCGTATATATTAGGTATATTATATTTTTAATTTGTTGAATAAAAAATATCACATTGGCCAAATTAATAATTTGAATTAATAATATTATATGAGAAATGTATAATACGAATTAAAAATACCATTGGAGAAATTTCTCCACTTTAACATTTAAATTATTTAATTTGTCCTATAATATTTTTAATGCAATAAATTGTAAGAGTTTATTTCAAATTTACCGCCAAATAAACAGTTGGTATTGGAAGTAACCAGTTTAGTGACTTTAAGTTGGCAGTCTGAAATCCGCCATGTTGGCATTGTTCATAAAACAGCGTGTGCTGTTTTTAGTTAGCTCCCTGTTTAGTTAAATTTCTGTGTATTTAAATATATGATATAAGTGAAAAACAACTTTTATTATATGGAAAAACCCCTACAAAATTTAAGTTTTCACTTGATATTTTTAAATAATTTAGAGATATGAAGGTATGTGAAATTCAATGGAGAAATAAATAAAAATAGTATTATGAAAGGTTTATTGTTTTAACTTAAGGAATATATGGTTAACGGATTGACCTCCTTTTCCCGGACACCCTGTATATATATATATATATATATATATATATACATTAACAAAACACTTGTTAACACTGTATTACATTTCCCTATTATAATAAAACTATGTCCTAATTCGGTCCTCATATGTCCCGAATTGGACAGCTTGGGGTCAAATACGGACGTCCTGAGGACATCCTATTTCGGAAGTCTGTGGACGGTCAAATACGGACGTCCTGAGGACATCTGAAACAGTCTATTTCGGAAGTCTGTGGACGTACTACGAACGTACTTTTGCAGACCCCGGACATCCTGAGGACGTTCGGGTTGTCCTGGGTGGAAGTCCTACGAACGTCCTACGAACGTACTTGTGCTATCTGGGTGGTAATATAATAGAACAATATTATTTTGTAAATAAAAACACGGCAACTGTAGTATCCGTTACGCGTGGAATGGCTCTATAGGCCTATAAAAAATGCTGGTATAATATAAAAAATACCGGTATTTTATTTTATGTTAAAAATAAATATTTATTAATTTGTATATCGATTTTTTATTTCTAAATTAACATTTTTATGTATAATAATCCTAACTATCTTGAACTTCAATCTAATCTGACTTATCCCACAAAATTTTCCAATTTTACTTTTTATGAAATAATGTAAGTAATACAACTTATATACCATATGGTTTAGAGGTCAAATTGTTTATTTAATATTTTTAAATAAATATATATTAATACGTCGCAAAATTTTTTAGGGGACGACAAATACATTTCACTGTCATATTATGACAGTGAGGCGTATTTGTCGTCTCCTGAAGAATTTTACGAATGTAGAATACAACATATTAGAACGTGGGTATCTGACATATTTGGAAATATTCTCAAAAGCTTCCTAGAAGCTCCATAAGAAACCTTCTAAGAATATTTCAAAATCGTATTCTTAAAATGTTAATAGGATGTTTTTTAGGAAGGTTTTAAGAAGCTTTTAAGAATCTAATTGCATCATTAAAATGGTATCTATTGAATGTTTTAAAAGTCCCTAAGAACATTCTTAGCAATAAGGGAAGGTTCTAAGAATATTCACTTATTCCGGGTCATATCTTCTTAGAAGATTCTTAAAATCAAATTTTGCTATCAGGGTTAGAGCTTTAAGGGCACAAAACTTTTGTATTTATTGAGTTTTTATTTATTTTTTGCAAGAAAAATATTTGGTAACAATTATTAACAATCTATGTACTCACAGAACACAAGTGGTGTATCACAAAAAATATAAAAAACTTGTAATGCCTATTTTTTCTTTATCTTTGGAAAAATATTTTTTTAAATATTTTTCTGTTACACCTAGGGTTGCCAGATTCTGTCAAAAAAATAAAGTACACTTTGTGAGAATTTACCTTATTGAAACAATCAAAAATACTTAGGTAATGTCAATTTAACAATTTATGTCAAAACGTTTTAGTACCTATTTTAATATATTACATTCATTACATAACACCCTGTATAAACTTGCTTCAATTTTAATTTGATTATTTCCCTCAATATAATATGAACCAATCAAAAACCTTGAATTTTCGTTTAAATAAGCGATTAAATCACTAGACCTTTTTAACAGCGATTAAATTTTAGTCTCCATATTGGATTTTTGTTTACGATTTTATGGTGTTATTTACAAGTTTTAACAAACATTTTTTAAAAAACAATAAAAAATAAGTTATCTAGTTTACAAAATATCAATTATTACTTATTACATACCTTAAATTAATGGAATTTTCTTTAAAAAAATATTTATAAACTTTGACACATACGTCAGATTTTATGAATGGTCAAATAGTTTCCTTTAATTCGAGAAATAATCTAGACGTATATCACTCAACCTATAAATTTAATCTGTCAAACTATGCTCAGTAAGTTTTTTATTTGATTTTTCTTTTTGGAAAATAGTTTCATGCAAAATAATTAAAAATAAAACCCCTCGACCGCTACGCGGTCTCGTGATTTTATTAAATTATTTTGCATTCAACATTTTCCAACAAAAACCAAACAAAAAACTACTGAGCCTAGTTTACCTGATTAAATTCATAGTTCTTGTGATATAATATATGATTAAAATTAACACCAACTTTGGAATTCTGTAGTTTTGTTATTTTTTACCGAATTTAAAAAATAATTATATCAAATGTTAGATAATTTTATTAACTTTAAGAAAATATAAATATTTTTATGAGCTTCAGTCCTAATTTTTGAGGATAGTTCAAAAAGTATAAAGTTTTCCAATTTACATTTTCTTAAAATTAAAACAAATCTCAATAAAATTTTGCAATAAGTTTCTCTTTGACATTAATGTCAATTGACATTTCAAAGAGAAATTATTGTAAAATTTTAAGATTCCTTTTTTGTAAAACATTAAATTTCCTATAAGAATATAATCAGATCCCATCATGACACAACCTTGCATTTTATAACAATAATAAAAAATACTTACCTATTAATAACAGCTTTATCTTCCAATAATCTAAATACTCTAGGTTTTTCATTGCCAGGTTGAGGTACTGGAGTCACTGATCCAATTTCAACAAATCCAAATCCCAAATCTTTCAAACCCAAAACAGCTTCACCATTTTTATCGAAACCTGCAGCTATGCCAATGGGATTAGAAAATGTTTTGTTAAACAGTCTTACACTCTAAAAATCTACATAAATTCATTCTATAACCGTTAATTATTATATAGGTATTTACCAATGATTCTGGGTCCTTATACAAGCTTGTGGGAAAAATTCTGTATTTACTACACATAACGGCTAAGTTATGGGCCCCTTCTGCTGGTAGAAAATGTATAACAGGCATGATAAAACTTCTGTAAAATTTTTCATCATTGCGCCAAAAACTTATGCCTGCATATGTAGAATATCCGCCCAGGGTTACAAGAACCAAAGATTTTAACTTTTTCTAAAACATTCAAGTTGCCCTGTTTTGTCAAAAACAATAAAAACTACTTACGGCTGCGCTCATAATACTGGTGGAATTTAAATTTTTTGTTAAATAAATAATCAAAGATAAGAAATTAAAAAAACCCGTGTTTTATTAACCTACACATGTACAGTGACGTTTAAATGTCAAAAAATTGACAGCTGTTCTGTGTACACATTGGAAGAAGAAGATTAACCTCTTTTATTGTTGGTAAATAAACGTAATTTGCTTATAAAATGGAAGCGTTAAAGGCAGAAATAGCAAGAAAAAGAAAACTCTTAGAAGAGAAAAACCTTTTGGTATGTTTAAATAAATTAATTAATAAAAAACAATGTATAAAACAACATATTTTTTAGGGTACGGATAAAAAGTATTTTAAAAGGGGCGAGTTGATAGCCAAAGAACAGGAAGATTATATGCAAAAGTATTCTACTGCTAATGAAGAAGCAGATAAAACCACACAATCTAATAAAGGTATGTAATTATTGTGCTCTTTTGAAAGGCATATTTAATTATTTTTGTAGATTCCTCGTTGGATTCTGATGTACAAACCAGCAATTTATCTATGAAAGAGGTTATATCAAGGTTAAGAGACAGAGGCGAACCTATTGTTTTATTTGGGGAAACTGAATTGGACACATTCAAGAGATTAAGACGATATGAGTTATTGGAACCAGAAACAAATAAGGTATGTAATTTAAAATAATTTTGAGGAATATATTGATTGTATTTTTGTTTAGGGCTTTCGTAATGATTTTCAAGAAGCAATGGAACAGGTTGATCAAGCCTATTTGGATGAATTATTGGAGGCGTCTCATAACACTAAAAACGAGGCCAAAACTACTAGTAAAAAGGAAGATGTAACAATTGGTTATGAAGAAATTCGTGAAATGGCTAAAAAAATGGGAAAAGGCAACAGAGAACATGATATGACAGTCATTGTGCATTTTATACAGGTAATATTATCTTATATTATTTTTTTTCAACATTTAATTAAATTTGTTGTAGTTAATAATTAAGTTATGGACTGAGCAGCTTCAGAACAGATCATCAGAAGAAAAATCAGGTACACGAGGAAAATTGACGGGTGCAACTCATAAACAAACTCAAGACTATTTAAAACCACTTTTAAGAAAACTCAAAACTTTCACGCTTCCCGAGGATATTTCAGACAGTTTAACAGAGATTGTTGTGCACTTATTGAACAGAAATTATTTAAAAGTAAGTATTCATAAATTATTGAATTAGGTAATTCAGGGGATGTTTTAGGCGAGTGACGCGTATTTACAAATGGCCATAGGAAACGCGCCATGGCCCATTGGGGTGACCATGGTGGGTATCCACGCCCGTACAGGAAGAGAGAAGATTTTTTCGAAAAATGTCGCCCATGTAATGAACGACGAAACTCAAAGGAAATACATACAAGGGTTAAAGCGACTTATGACAAAATGTCAGGAGTATTTTCCAACAGATCCTTCCAGGTGTGTGGAGTATCAACCTCCACCTAAACCTGACCCTGCCAACACTTAAATTGTAAAAATGTTTAATAAATAATAATTATAAAAGGTATTTTTCTTTGGGAAGTGACCCAAAATGGCTTGTTTTATGAAAACTCAAATAAAAATCTGAAGGAGGTGTTTTTAACAATTTTAACATTATTTTTATCAAGGTTTTATAAGTAGCAGACTTGATAAAACCTTATTAATAATTTTGTTAAATAATAACAATGTTTAGGTAACTTTAATAAAAAATATCAATATGTTCTTTTATTTTCTTTATTTATTGAATGTCATTCATATTATGCTATTTATGGTAATAATACTTTATTTGGCATATACTATTTGTCATGTTTTCCCAATTCAGCTGCCCGTAATGCAGCAGCTTCCACTGCATCCATAATTGTCCCTCTGTAAGCAAAAAATTATATACACTGCCCGTCAAAATTAACGCATAATAAGTAAAAAAATTCTAACTCTAAAACGCCTTTACCAATCTTTATGAAATTTTGTATGAAAATACTTCAACTTATATCTCAGTTTACGTGTCGAGGGTTTTTCGAGAAAATATTTTTAAAGCCCTTTTATTTAATAATAAAAAACGTTAAAAAAATAACTTTTAGGGATTTTTTTTTAACTATATAAAAAATTTGCTGTTAAAGATCGTATTTCTCTTGGTATGCCCTGAAAATTTTGTACAAATCAAACGAACGGTAACGAAGATACATCGCTTCAAAGTCGGTAAAAATGACCCCTTTTTGATTATATTGCTGAAAAATTGTCATTTTTGACGACTTTGAAGCGCTGCATTTTCGTTACTGTTCGTTTGATTTTTACAAAATTTTCAGGGTATATTAAAAAAATACGGTCTTCCACAATATAGTTTTTATTTATTAAAAAAAATTTTTTTTCGAGCGAATTTTATTATTAAATAAAAGGGCTTTAAGGATATTTTTTCGAAAAACCCTTGAACACGTAAACTGAGATATAAGTTAAAGTATTTTTATACAAAATTTCATAAAGATTGGTCAAGGCGTTTTAGAGTTAGAATTTTTTTACTTATTATGCGTTAATTTTGACGGGCAGTGTATTTATTTTATATTATTACCCGCGGCTTGGCTACTCTGATTTTAAGGAGTTTAAATTACTGGTTTAAATGTAGGCAACCCATATTACACCTATGCATTTTTTACTGTTGCTACCTATTTTTAAACACAGATAGATTTTGGAATTACAATTGTAAACTAAAGTTTTAAACTTTAAAAGTAAATTTAATATTTGTTATAATTTTAAAATGAAGTCATATTTTTAAAGCGCTTTAAGTTTCTTGAAGAGTTCGTAGAGATGTTATTATTAAGGATATTTAAAAAAAAGTACCTATATGATTTTGTGAGGCATCAGAATTATTCACAAATAATTTCAGATTTATCTACAGCCCAGATTCCAAAAAAATAATTTTGGGAAAGTGTGTTAAAGCATTTTAGTACCTTTTTATATATTTTTCCATTTTTTCCCTAAAAAATTCAGGGAACGTAGTGAGGATTTTTTTGCGACGCAGCCAAAATTCCCAGAACCTAGGATTTATATTTTTGAGGTGTTGCCAAATTTTTAAAAATTCCCAGAAGCTGAGAATTTTTTGAAATTCAGAAAGTTATCATCTCAAAGAAATAATATTATCTTTGGGTTATCTTGTATTGTTTAGCGGTGTTGCCAAATTTCAAAAAAATCCCAGAATCTGGGATTTTTTTAAAATCTTTAGACCTAATTATCAATTTATTAATTAATTAGTAATTATGTCATCTTGCACTTTTTAGAGGCGTTGCCAAATTTATTTATATAAATCCTGACATATACCTATTTGCAAAGTGTGGTTGTGTTTTTTTCTTAAAACCAGCTATGTTTCCATAAATTCTTTAAAAAAGTCGTTTTCAAACTCTAGCAACAAAATACGATCATGTTGATTTAGTAATTGATTATTACAATTAATTTTACATGGAAATAAAAACAAACAATTTTTTTTGCACTTTTCAAATTTCAAATTTCCTGCTGACAACTTAAGAAACAATAATATAATATTGTAATAATCCTTAATTTGGCTATTATAACAACAAATTAACATTATATATTGTTACTTTTAATTAAATATATTTACTTTTTATGTTGTTTGTAATTTTAAATGATACTTTTATTTGTAATAAAGTAGTACCTAGTACCTATTTGGTTATTAAAAAACGATTTATTTTTACTACATTGGTACCGCTGAATTTGCTGTCACGGCCTACTGTTATTTATTTAATAAACTCTTCAAAAAAATCACCTTGCTCCTCCCCTCTCCAAAGCATGTATCCCTGCAATGGTTTGTCCTCCGGCAGAACAAACTTCGTCTTTCAAAACTCCCATGTGCTTGCTGGTTTCCAGGACCATTTTCGCCGACCCCATGACGGTCTGCGCGGCGAATTCCGTCGCCATTTGCCTGTGCAACCCCATTTTCACGCCACCATCCGACAGAGCCTCAATAAACATGTACACCTAAAATTACGAATGAAAAAAACATTTTTCAATAATATTATGGCGTTGTTACGAAAGCTGGTCCGCTAGCCGATACGGCTCCAATGGCGTTAATCATGTGTTCCGGGACTTTTTGACACATCCCGGTAACCTCGAGAATGCGGTGCACAATTTCCAAGTCCTCATTGGTCGCCGACGAGCCTGCGCAGTACACCGTGCAACCCTGACCCACTATCATTGGCGTGTTGGGCATAACCCTAACCACTCTGGACCCCTCGAAGATTGATAACATCTGAAATAAGTTTTAAATTTCCATGGAAAACAATAAACCACCCATTGCACGGCATTCTCCACCGCGCACTAGATAATACCTTAACCTGATTGATTGATGATTACTTACTTTTTCTAGATCTTTTACTGTGGTACCAGCCAAAATCGATATGAACAATTTATTTTTGATTTTACTTTTCAATGGGCTATCGGCTATTTCTTTGAGTGCTTCCGTTAAGATATGTGGTTTAACAGCTAGTAGAACAATATCGGATTCGTTGGCAACTAAAGCGTTATCGGTCGTTACGTTCGAACCCCATTCTTTCCACATGTCCAAATTTTTTATGTACGGACTGGACACATACGTTTGAGAATACTCTATTAATCCTAAAAAAGATTTTTAATTTTCTCTTTAAATTCAACTCAATACATTTTTTGATTTCACCACCTTTTAAAAATTAAGCCCGCGGGCTACGCGTAATATGGAACCCATAGAAAAAGGACCCCTCTCCCTTATATTACAGACCTAGCGGCCCTTTAATTTATTTTTTAATAAATGGTATAAAAATTGTATAAAAAGCATTTAATAATAATAAACACACAAAATAATGATATTTTAGATTTTATAATGACATGTTTACAGCAAGACTTGGCAACGTCGTATTTCGACCACGTTAGCCAAAAGGTTTTTATCATAGACATATTAATATGTAAATGGTTTTTATAATTAACCATTTTGATTGTTTTTTTGTTGTAGGTATATCAATTGTTTTGTCATTGTTTTTTTTCATTGTGTTTACGAGATTTTTAGTGGCGTTTACATAATATGCTTATTAAGCCACTTTTTGCTTTTTATAAAGAGAAACCACAGAAATATGTGTAAGTTAGGCGATGTACATAAATTATTTAGAAAATTTTTATATAACCTTAATTTTATTTAGTTGACAATTCGTATTATACGTGGATGTATTAATATGTCTATGGTATCATATATTTTAAATCCCCTATTTATGAACTGACCATGCGCATAAGGTAAAATGACAAACTTTCTCTCGAAAACAGGAAACAAGGTCATCAAAATAAAATAAAATAAAATAACGCAGATTTAAAAAATTCGTTACTTTCAGTGTTTTTATTTCTCCATCCTTAAATTTTGACAGTAGGGATAATCATATAATTAAAATATATATATATATATATATATATATATATATATATATATGCGTTTAGTACTTATACACCTCCGAATGCTATATGTTTAGGTAGACTCTGCCTCCGATTTTACGTGTTCGCCTCCGAAATCGGAGTCGAAGGCGTTTTGTTTGTTTTTCACCTTGGTTGGCCCAATAGTGGTGCCCTGTAACGTTTGGCAAATTTTTATGTGGAGGTATAAACGACCTATATACACATACATTTATACAGCATAGTTCAAGCAATTTCCACCAGGTGCGCTGCTATTTTGTACGCTTGATATATGTAGGTACTTATCGCCTCCATACATTTAAAGTACGAGTTTGCCTCATATTATTGATAAACTAATGGCAACAGCGCTAGAGGCGATGACGATACAAGCACATTTTAGGTTTATATTTCTTCTTGAGCGTAAGAATTGATTCTAAGATTATTATAAAAAATATCATAACGACGCCAATTAAAGTAGGTACCTACAGTAACTTATATTGCATATTTTTTTAATTCTTGGCTTACAATCGGTTTTTATAAATTAAACGTCAAAATACTTTAAACATTTCCGAATCAATACAACCAACTTATATATAAAGGGGTAAGAAGCAAAAAGGTACAAGTGCAAAAAAGAGAAGTGAAGTTAAATAAAGTGTTTGCTATATACAAAAAACTGAATACTTGTTTCAATTATTCATTAATTATTTTCATAAAATCAAATTGTACCATTTTGCTTCTCACCCCTTGATATATATATTTTATAATTTTATTTACTTCAATAATTACAATTATATTTTTGTTAGTGAGTGTACTATTATCCAGCATATATTTTTGAAAATGTTTTAAATAAAACATCTCGTAAACATTAGATATACTTTTTTTTGGATACCGCTTTGTTAAATTAAATTAAAAAATACTATTAAGCAATTTATTTAAACTAATTTTTATTAGACTCATTTCCAAGTTTACCTTTACCTCCGGACGCATTTTATCTGCCTGCGGAATAGGAAAATATTTTTTTGTTATTCTTATTCTTTTATTATTATTTTTTTGTTTCATTTTATTATATATAATATATAAATATAGCAAATCGACCACAAACACTTTCAAAATCAAACATGACACAACCATTTAAACGCATTCGTCAATAAGTTATACCTTATAACTTATTTACATAAATATTATGTAATAAGGATATATATATATAAATACATGTTACATTCGTAATATTTTATGATATTTATATATCCTTATTACATAATATTTATGTAAATAAGTTATAAGGTATAACTTATATTATATATATATAACATTGTTATATAAGTAACTACTATATTATGTATATGTTTTATCATTATTATGTAATAAAACAGGAAAAAACTATGTAGATACAATTTAATAAGGTTATATGGATACTATAAAATATTACCATATATGTATCATTGAAGCATCATTGTTTCAAAATATATATAAGGGGTCTAATATCAAACAGCAATCTTCAATATTTTTTGTTAGCAAATTCCATTGTTTAATATAAATTATTTTAAAATTTTCCAGTAAATATGAGTCCAGTTGAATTGATTGAGCAAAAATATCATACCTTATAGTATTGCCCATATTAATAAATAGTATTTAGTAAATATAACACTTTTTTTTTCAGGAAAATACTTCAATATCGAACTTTTATACTTCCAAAAATGTTACTGAAATAGAGTTTGTACTGATAATATAACTGATACATAACATAATGGCCGTCTAAAAAAAATCACTCTGTATATAAAGGTCCTACACAGCAAATGGAAAAATATAGAAGTGTATTGGATGACGCCACGTTTGAATACAGTTTTCTAAACCCTCGCCACGGTATACAGTTGTATTCGTCAGTCGAGCGTTTCAATACTCTCCACAGTATAGAGGTCGTAATTTGACTTTTGAACTAGTATTAATATAAAAATTATTTTATGCTTGAAAAAAAAACTATATACGACATGATTGTGATTTTTTTAATTTTTATTTAATTAAGCTGTGTTGAATATTTTTCCTAAAGGAATAATTGCCAATGGGCCACAGATTATAAAGGTTGCAATGGGCCATTAATTCATTTGTTCGTAGATGCTACAATAACCTGCATGGTGTGTACTTTTTGATCAACCAGATTTCAATATTGCTGTATACTAACATAAAACTACCAGTACAGGCTCTATCAACAGACCTCATTAGTAAATTATTAAAGTTTAATAGCATATCGATCATTTTTTGAACATAACCTCTGAAATTTTTAATAAAAATATAGGTACTTTATATAATACATAAATATACTTTACATCATATCATCTGTGCTTTATATACTTTACATCATATCCCCTGTGCTTTACATACCTTAGTTGTTACGGTAAATAAAAATCAGACAAAGGAACCAAAGAAAGGAACTATTTTCAACAAAATCATATGCAGAAATGAGAATATTCAAACTACTTGCATCCATCAAAATATCAAAACTTCTTGCAATATTGAATTACACCCTCTTTTTATACTCTCAGAAATATTGACTAGAACAGTATTAGAGACTCCAGTTTCTATAACTTGGTAGAGTAAAGAGAAGTCGAAACCGTTGCGATATTGCTTTGCGCTGTTTTTGTATAATTATCGGGGACATTAACAAAAATCATTGCCAGTAAAATTCGAAGCTTGAGTTTTTATGTCTCTGAAGAGAATAGGAATCCGAAGATGCTGCACCATTGGACTGAACCTTTTTTCAATAATTTCTAGAGACATAAATGACAGCGTCGAGTTACTATCTCTCTGTCGTGCATAGGTATAGAGGCGAAAAATATAAAAACAAAGCACGATTCAATACAGTTATGATAAAACTTTAAGATTTAGTATAAAAACAGGGAGTCATCCTATACAGTTCTATATTTTTCCGTTTGCTGTGTAATGATAGTTTAATTAGAATTTTCATATTTTAAGTGCGGTAAAGAAAAAAATTAAGGGGAGCTGTAAACTTGTACGATTCCTGAAATGAACGCGCTTTAACTCTAGCTCTAAATACTGTTATAACTTACCGCGACTTGGCAGCCCTCTTCATAATGATTTATCCACCAATTAAAGTTTATTATTGCACGATAAATGCTTATAAGAATTAAAATATTAGATCAGGTGACAAAGCTTACAAAGCACAGCGTGGCAACGTCGGTGGAGGCGATATCAACCGCTACATTTAACACATTTATATACAATGAGTCGATTGCGTACTATTTATATAAGGAGTTGTAAACGTACTAATTATATTTTTAATTTTGTATAAAATAGAAAGTTGATTTTTTTACCCCTCCCACTTTGCCCTTAACTTGTGGCGTGTTGTCCTCCTGAAAGTCTTTTATATACTCGGAATATTTTACCCCTTCTAGTGGAGGTGTGGACGCCCCACATTTGTACGGAGGCAGAAACGATACAAATGCATATATATATATATATATATATATATATATATATATATATAATAAAAATTGTTTATAAAACTTTACAATTGTTATTAAAAAAATGTAAATTTTTTTTTACCTAGAACACGCATAAGCCTGTATTATATATACCTAGGCCTAAAGACTTCATATTTGTAAGCAGTTAAAAAATCAAATTGTTATGGAGTGGTATCATCTATCGCATTTAGCATGAAGCCCACACAAGGGTCCGAACTTCATGTAAAAAAGAATAAGAGGGCGCTGGTGTTCCGTTTGTTCTGACACAATTGACTAATTTGTACCGAAACGCTACCAAAAGAGCAGACGTCAGTAGGCATCGACGATCAGCGCCGCTGGTGGTGAACTGTACTATTTCAGTAACTGAAATATTACAGGTCACTGTAGAATAAATTTATGCACATAACCTAATGTCAAACGTCAACATTATCTACCTATGAATTTAACAAACTCGAAAATTTCAACTGGATTTAATTAATGTAAGTATTAATCTAAGCTCAGAATTATTAAACGCTGTTAGATAATTTACTATTTTTTATGTAATATAGGTACCTACCTTTGTTTTTGATGCTTTTACAAATAGCTTTGGCCATATTACCATCGCCGATAAATCCAATTTTTTGAGATATTTTTTGTGAACAAAAATTCCTGGATTTGTGAGAACATAACTTGCTGAAATAAAAATTAAAATGCATAACCATTTTAAATACAAATTTATTTTAACATTTAAAAATATATGTAAAAAACTAAGTTCTAATTTATCTAAAAACCTTATCTAATTTTTGGTAGTGTAAAAGTAAAACGGAATACTTCTAATAATGCATATCTTTTAAATACTAGATTCAACAACAAACAGTCCTGTGTTAATTCTTCATAGATATGTATTATCAGAAAAAGACATTTGGTATAGAGGAACAAAACTGTAAAATTAATTTGGAATGAAGATAACATATTTAGACATTTATATAGTTAGATGAATATATAAACAAGGGATAAAAAAGTAATCAATTTAAGTAATGATAATAATGAAAATACAGCCGCCATCTTGGAATTTCATATAAAAATTGTTTTAAAGTCTATTCAAATCCAAGCTGGACTAAATGTAAACACAATCCTCCGAATCGACCAATAAGAGCTCACAATCCGAGTCACACCATCAGAATCGACCAATAGAAACGAGTTATCAAGCGTCTGGGCGTTTTTGTTTAGTCCAGCTTGGATTTGAAAAGACTTTAGATAAAGCAATAAATATTTAAATCACAATGTATTAATAATAAAAATAAGTCATTGAGTGATGTTCCCTTTTTGTCAATTTGAAAACTAAGTAAAATTAATTAAGACAATAATAAATAATGCAGTCTTAAAAGTTTTCATCCTTACTGTATAATGAATCATACCTACAATAATTGAAATATGCACATACACAAAACATCCACATAAAAATGAACTGGCAAATTGTTGATTACATTAAATTAATTTGGATATTGAATATAACTAAGAGCTCAGTCAGGGTGTTCCAAAATAACGTGAAAAATGCATGGTCCTAAAAATTGTTTAAATCACAATCCACACAAAGTCTCGTTTCGCGCATACTAAAAATCGCAAAGTTAGGCAACCCACTGCACAGGCTTTAACGGCGACCATTTTTATGTTGAATCGTTTTAAACGTTTTGCTTCTTACAGATGCACTTGTAAGCCTTAAAAGAAGCATTAAAGTGCCAAGGGCAACCTCTTTTGTAAAAAATAAACTTTATTTTATCAGGACTGATTTGTGGGTATAGTAAATTAACCTTAAAATTGAAATTTGACAGCCCTGATGGAATAAGGTTTATTTTTTACAAAAGAGTAAAATGGTTGTCCTTGGAACTTTAAGGCCTCATTTGAGGCTTACAAGGGGTATGTAAGAAACGCAACGTTTAAAACGATGTTTAATCTGTATAAACAGCACAAAACCCAAAGCATAAGAATTGTAAACAACATAAAAATGGCCGTCATTAAAGTATGTGCAGTGGAAACGAGATAGAACAGACTGTTGTGTGGACTGTGGTTTAAATAATAACAGTTGGTCGCATTGTTTTGGATCATCCTGTATTATAAAGTGGCTTACATAAATGAATAGCTTATTAAATATCATCTATTCATATGGGTATTATTTAAAAATTATTTCGTTTTTAACTGTCAATTTTTAGATTAGATTGCGTATTATACTGTATAATTTATACATAGATAGATATAAAAACAAAATAACTTTTACAATAATTTGTTCAATTCGGCACAAATGTATTATTATTTGTCGGTTTTAGGTATATTTTTAAAAATATGGAATGATTGGGCATTTCATACAACCTTTGTAACTAGAGATGCGACTTGAAAAAAAACGGTCCGTTTTTTTTGTTTTTTTTCAAATGGTTTTTTTCACATTTTTCAAGATTAGTCCAATTTGCCTAATTTTTTATGTTTCCATGGACTAAAATTAGCCACTAAATGACAATTATTAAATGTAAATACAGTCTCGCGTTATGCACTCGCCACAACCACCGATTTGACCAATAAGGTGTTTTGATTTAGTCCTAAAAAAAGTAACTACATATAATATTCTTGATTCAGCGCTTAATTTTTCAAAAAGCTACCAAAAGCACTTTTTTCATGATTTTTCAAATTTATGTACAGTATGGAAATTTTTTTTTTCAAAAAACAATAGCAAATTCTTGTAGAACATTTCTTCATGGTCAGTACATTCCGTGGACCAAAATTTTTTTTTCGTTAGAATTAAGCGTTGCACGTTTTTCATCTAAAAATCTCTATAAACTATAAACTTCAAGCTTCAAATTGCTTTATTTACGGCTCCAATACGACCATTTTTAACAAATATACAGCTATCCGAAAAATCGCAAAAAAAATGTATCCTTTAATTTTTTGTATTAGTGTAAAGGTTTTACATTGCTATTGTTTTTTAATGTGGAAACTACCAAATAATAAGAAATCAGACTTTTTGGTCTTGGTCAAAATTTACAATAATGAAAAATGTAATATATTCTTCATTTTACTCAAAATTTCATTTAAAAAAAAAAAACAAAAAAAACCGTTTTTTTTTTAGGTTTTTTTTCACATCTGAAAAAACCGTTTTTTTACATCTCTATTTGTAACACCTTTAGTCACCTGAGTCAAAATCCCTATTGCGATAAATTTATAACCATTACAACTTGAATAACTTTTTAAATATCCGTGACAGAAAAAAAAGTTTCTGGAAACACTTTCACGAACAATTTTTGCGATAACCACTTTAACGTAACACTAAAATTAACGGAGATAATCGACTAAACCTCTCAGGTGGCACCCACTTAACATTTGGTATTGTACTCGTAAAGCTAATGATTTGGCATTGATAGCATGTTGGTGTGTATGTTGGTGAGCATCTGGTGGATGGTTCTGAACCCCGGCCGATCGACGGGCTTCTGCGCCCAGCACTCCTTCATGACCTCGTACAGCGGCGCCGGAGTCGACTCAGGGCTGACCAAAACGTTGCCGTCTTTCAGATACTTGATCACCTCTTCGTGCGTCATGCCGTAGTAGGGTTGCAACGCGAAGGAGAATATCTCCCACAGGCACACTCCGAAAGCCCACACGTCCGATTCAGGGGTGTACTTGTTGTACAGGATGCTCTCGAGGGGCATCCACCGCACCGGGATGGCGTCCCGGTCGCTGCCCTTGTAGTAATCCTGCAGGTAGATCTTCTGCGACAGCCCGAAATCGGCGATCTTCACCACCATTTCCTCGTTTATCAGGCAGTTTCTCGTCGCGAGATCCCTGTGCACGAACTTCCTGTCGGATAGGTACACCATCCCGGCCGCGATTTGCAGGGCCACGTTGACCTGCTCCAAGTGAGTGAGCTGGTTGTCCCTGTACACGTCTCTATTAACGAACTCCCCGTTCATAATGCTCCTCACGACGTAGTTACTCGGCGAACACTGCCGCAAAAACTCGTTCAGATCCCCCTTACCCATGTACTCGAACAAAAGACACATCGGCCGCCCCACCGCGCAGACTCCCAACAGTTTGACTATGTTGGGGTGGTCAAACTCCGACAAAAGACACGCCTCCTTCTCGAAGTCGTCCTGCATATCCTCCGAGGCGTCATCCTTCAACATTTTAACCGCCACCACGGTGAACTCCTCCCCTGCTATCAACCCCGGCGCCCTAGCCTGAAAAACGCTCCCGAACGCCCCCTGACCCAAATCCCTAATATATATGATGTCATTCCTGGGAAATTCCAACTTCTCCAACTTGGGATTCAAAGTTGCCCCGTGTCTATGATACGCCATATTGCTGGGCAACTTATCCAAATCTATGTTCACGTCGACCGTTTCAGGCGAGTTGTAGCCGAGAACGTGTCTTTTGTGCACCCTATGGCACAGCAGAACGAATAATAAACACACGACAATCGCGAGCAAACCCACACCCGACAGAATAATGATGAACGTTGGGGATAAGTACTGATCCATTATAATACCCTTTCCATCATCCTCAACAGTCGAGTTGAGGCACTTAGGTATCTCGCAGTTCTCCCATCGCACATCGGCATCCATGGTGAAACACCACGGTCTCTTCTCCTCGCCACCAGCATTCCTGCAGTAGTTCTCCGAGTTTTTCAACTCGGGGAATATGTTCGGCGGCGAGTTGTGCGAGTGCGGTTCCTGTGAATCCCACCTTTGACAAAATATACCGCTTTTAGTTACATTCACTTTGCCTTGGTAATACCGGCCTCTCCCTTTAATACAATCGTAAGTAATTTCATCTTCCTGCACGTCCGTTAACCCTGCATAAGCGCAAGTGTTGTTCTTGTTTTCGTCGTGATACTTTGGTAGTATGCTGCAGTCGGGAAGCCTGAAATGTCCTCGACTGTGCACATAATGGCCAGCTAACTTTTTGGTCTCTATGAATGCCCATTCTTTGTAGCAAAACAACTCTTTAACGGCCGAACAGTCTTCGTAACACAGCGGTAGTGGTTTGTCCACATTGCATTCGGGAAAAGCGTAAACACAGAGCAGTTTCTCGGCTGCGCTTTTGCACGGTTCTTCGTAACCGGTAATCAACTCCTGCCACAGATTAATTGCGATTTGTTCGTTCTCGTAGCCTCCCGTGTTGTTGTAGAACACAATTTTCGTGTTATCGACGTACTTTTTGCACACTTTTCCGTGATATGGGCCGCAAAAGCCCTGACTATAAACACTTGGTAAGTTTGAAAATACCAATAGCATCAAAATAACGTACATCTTCAGTAGTGGTATTATGTCATGTTTTACTATAGTGTTGTATAATTTGATGTATTTATAAAAAAGATATTTATGCATTAGACATATCGACGTCAGATTTGACAGAACTATATTGACAAACCGACTACCAACATTAGAAAATAAAATGAACCATTTGAGAGATGGATTTTCGGAAGGTTGTTACATAGTGTGGCAACGTCGCAGTAGTTCAAAAGTAATGTCTTTGTTCAAGTTTACTCAAAAATGTATAAATTTAAATAATTGAGGTTTTTCTTCTGTCAGTTAAACGCAAATTTATCTTTCTTTCTGAAATTAAAACCATGGTTGTATATTATGTGTACTAATTTAGAACACAAAATATACATAGTTCTTTTTTTTTATCTGGACTGCGGCAACGTTGCAAATTTAGGGTTTTGGTTGGTAAATACAGTTGCCAAGTTGGTCGCATTAATTAAAACCACGGTCTTATATACAGGTCCTGCAACTTTAAGCTTCGAGGTGGCTTCCTTAACGTGCCAAGCCGCTAGGTGGCGCTAAGATCGAAGGGGTAAAGTCAATTAAACTACTACTTAGTTAAATGTGGAACTACTGCATAACCATAACCTAACTTTTTAAATTCTTTTTCCATGTTTTGTTTACATTTTCAAAAATTTAATATTTGTGAGTTTGTTTCGGATAATTTACGTTAACAAAATAGGACAACAAAGTCTATACTCTATGCACAAAGTCCCCGGCCGTCACATGCCCAGACCAAACATGTACATAAGTAAAACATGTTAAAATACATACGTATATCATATATATGTTACGGCTAATGTGTAAACATGGATAGTTTATAAAGTAGCTGGGTAGTTTATAAACTAGCCAAACTGTCAGCTATTTTAATTGAAAACGTATTTTTAACTAAATTAGCGGCTAGTTTGTAAACCAACCAAGGGTCTTGGCTAATTTACTTGAAATTATTTAGGAATAGCTGGATAATTTGTAAACTATCCAATTCAATTTGGCTAATATGAAAACCAAAATTTCTATTAACACAACATAGCCAAGCTTTAGATAGTTTACAAACTAACCAACAAATAGGTATTCTGGCTAATTTATTAATAACCGATTTTTTTATTGTCTTGGCGGGGATGGGTTGATTGTTTATTTAAAATAATATATATTTCACCAACACGATGTGCTTAATTATAAATTAATCATACAAAATGTAAAGGTTTCAATAGTATATTTTTTATTGCACATTGCCATGTTTTTAACTGCTCCTTATTTGTTGGCACTTTAAACATGGACCGCTAAATTTTAATGCCGGAACGATGGCTTTGCTGGTTACATTTTGGCACAACACAGGACTTCATGTCTATTAAAAAGCACAAATACAAATGTATAACAAGAACAAATATAACAAAAACAAATATAACAAGAACAAATATAACAAGAAAAAATAGAACAATATAATATAACAATAACGAATATCACAATAACAATAAGTAAAAACTCCCTGTAACACAGAACATATATGTTATATAAACAAGCTTGTGTGTTTTGTTGTAACAAAACACACAAGCTTGTTTATAAAAATGTAGGTTATGTTTCTTAACACAGCTGTGAACATAAGTAGGTAGTTCATTTGACTTTTATCCCATAGACTTTAAGGACTTAGAGCCAGTTTTACAATCGTTAGATTAAGTTAGCTTATTTGGCGGATAACTTTCATAGAAACCTTCTATCCAAGAAAATTATCCACCAGAGAGCTTATCTAACGATTGTAAAACCCAAAGATAAAGAAGGTAAAAACGACCTTTAAACATCTATGGTTTACCACCCAACTCGATGCGCCATCTGGTGGGTGTCTCATTAGAGAGGTCACTTTTCTTATTGAAATTGGGCGAAGTTGCAGGACCTGTATATAAGACCGTGATTAAAACAAACTAAGCTAGTTATAAATCTAATTGTGGTTATGTATAAATTATTGTAGGTTACATTGTGCAATTGTCAACTTAGGTCAAGTTAAGTTGTCGAAATTCGTATACGATACTATAGTTAAAAATGCAATTAATTTGGCTTTGGTGGTGGATGAGAAAAATCATATAAAAAAGTAGTTAAATATAGCTATAACCTAGGTTGCTTTACGGCCCAGAAGAAAAAGTATTCCTAGCGGATAATAATCTTCGCTTTGAAAAGAATTTATATAAAAGAAATTAAATTTTTTTTGTGAACGTAAATGTTAAATGTAAATGTTAACAATTGTTAATGTGTTAATGTGTGAATAATGGTGAAAATAATGTGTGATGTAATATTTATAAAACCAAATTCGTTACTTTTTTTACTCCAAAAATGTCCATAAGGCGATGTAGGTATTTTTTCTTCCATTGTGGCATTTGGCATAATTTCATCAAAATGAAGTTTTGCCCTCAAAGGGCTTTTACATTCGAATTCGTTGCTATTATTTTTGGCATAATTATCTTTTTATTTATAATTTATTTATAAATTATCAATAATAAATATTATTGTCAATTTGACAGTGTCAAAGTATTTAATTAAAATCTTTAGCAGAAGTACTTCTACTTAGTATTTAAAAATGCCACGTAGCATTTTTAAATACCAAGTCAAACTGGCATATGCCACCAACCTAACAAATAAACAGTCCAGATAAAAAAAATGAACTGTATTTATATTGTATTATTTTTAGAAAATGGGACGAAATTAGCGTTAAACTGACAGATAGAAAACCTCAATTATTTGTGTTCAAATGTCAGTGTGTGGAGCATTTTGACAAAATAATTCAATAATTTCACCATAAAAACGGGTAATAAATCTAAAAAATTACATTTTTTGGCATATAAATTACCAGAGTTAATAAATAAATAAGAATTGTTATTAAATACAAAATTATTATATACCTATTTACTTGCTTTGAAAGAAGATCTGCCATATTTAATATTTTGTGGGTAATATTAAGAATATTCTTTAAAATTTTATATCATATATGATATATATACCTATAGGTAGGTATAATTTATTATAATTAATTTAGATAAAAACTTAATTATTAAAATTATATGTTAACACTTACCCTGTAAAGACAAATAATTTACCAGCACGAAAACTCATATTTAGTTGAAATGTTTAGAGGTTATTTAAAAATAACTATATTATTTAATACTTTCTAATTTATTTGTTGCTGTTGGAATGGTAATTGAAAATCTCACTTTATATTATTCGTTTGTCCATAGGAAGCAACAAGAGATTAAAATTATTCCTCTTGAAAATTACGCCCTTGATGAAGGTTATGTTTTTATTGGCACTTTCCCATTTATTAAAACTTTAGCAAAACAGTAACTAAAATGTTAGGCTTGCAATATCCTGTGTGGATTTGATTTAATTTCAATTAAAATAATTTGTGTGGTAAAATAAAACAACTTGTGTAATTATTAATAGGTTCCATTATTTTTATTATGGCGCTTATACAGACTTTTGTTACATTTATTTATTATTGTCTAAATATAGTTTTATTCATAAGTACCAATAATAATACTTATTTCATTGCTCTAAAACAATTATTAAGTAATTAATTTATTGTTAAATTATTGGCGTAATTTTTTGTCTACAATTTACATTAACAATCTTTTATTTATAATGATACTGCTCAATTTTTGGTGACAAATTGTTTTTAATGTTTCTTTTCTCCCAATTCCGCAGATTTTTTTGCTGCTGCTTCTACCGCATCCATGAGTGCCCCCCTAAAATTAATTTCCTGATAAATGTATTCTTGCATAATATTTTATAATAAATTATTGACAGTAGAATAGGCTCCTGCATTTTTTTACCAACCTGTACAGAAAAAATAATCATTTTGAAATTACCTTACTCCTGCTTTTTCCAAAGCATGAATTCCCGTTATAGTCGTCCCTCCCGGAGAACAAACTTCATCTTTCAACTGTCCCGTGTGCTTCCCAGAATCCAAAACCATCTTGGAAGCGCCTAAAACGGTTTGCGCGGCAAACTGAACGGCCATTTCCCTGGGAATCCCCTGTTTAACACCGCCATCTGCCAGCGCTTCAATCATCAAGTAAACCTAAAATCCATATGGCTGTGCTCGATACAAAGACCTGGCAACCCTGTAAACACTTACAAATGCCGGTCCACTTCCTGATAGGGCTCCAACGGCATTAATTAAGGACTCCGGTACTTGCTTACAAACACCGGAAACTTCCAAAATGGTTTTTACAACATTTACGTCGCTTTCGGTCGCTCTTTGTCCTGGACAAAACACTGTGCAACCTTCCCCCACCATCATTGGTGTATTGGGCATCACACGGATAATTCTATTTTCTGTAAAATCCAAAGCCTAAAAAATTACATAATAGTTTGAGGTTTTAAAAATATTGCAGAGAAGTTGTATTTTATCTAAAATGGTATGGTACAAATCGTTGTATGACTCACTCAGGGAATTGACAGAAGAATAATGAAGATATTAACAATATATTTAATTATAACATTTTTTTTTTTTTTTTTTGTAAAGTACCTACAGAACATAAATTAAAATATAGTATTTGTAATATACAAAATTGTAATTGGGCAGGAAGACGAAAGTCGTTAGCCTTTTGGATTTCCAATAAAGTTTATTATTATTATTATTATTGGTATGGTACAATATCACAATGTCCCTTTACCCTTTCGAGTTGAGCTATAGTAATCCCAGCTAAAATAGAAACAAACAACTTTGATTTATAACTTTTGTCTTTCTCATTTTTATAATCTAAAATATTTGCTATTGCTTCAGGTAATATGTGTGGTTTTACTGCAAGAAAAATAATATCGGCTTCGTCAACTACAGATCCATTTATTGTCGTAGCATGGGCACCTTTCTTTTGCCAGTACTCCAAGCTTTCATTTCTCGCAGCTGATATGTAGACTTGAGAGTATTTAATTATATCTATAAAATACATATTTTATAGAATAGACTGTTTTTTAGATTAAAAATCGTATTTTCCTACTTTTCTTAACAATGCCTTCACATATCGCTTTTGCCATATTACCCCCTCCAATAAAGCCTATTTTCTCCTTTATAACATTCAGATTTTGGTCTCCGTTCGACATTTTAAGATAACTTGCAAGAAAAGGCAAAATTAAAAAAAATGGATTTTCTAGGTTATGTTCTTCTTCTTCTACTGAATGTTTTCAGTGTTTCCAAGTTTACCAAAAGTTTCTGTTTATTCACAAACTGCTCACAACTTTAAAAATAGACCCATTGTTATTAAATTATGCAAGCTATACCTATATAATAGTCGTTAAACAACTATAAAAAGTCTAGAACCCGAAAAATTGTCAGCAAATCCAATAATTATCCTCTTATTGGCGACACTGCTATGGAAAGTTGACAAACATCAAAAATGAACGTCCAAAAGAAAATATTGAAAATATGACATTGAATTAATTAAATTTAGCACATTTCAAAAATAAATGTTATGATTACCCACATTTCACTCACTTTTGTACTTTATACACAAATTTGAGGAATTTAAATTCCTCACAGACTTTCCACAAGTGTGGCAGTATTGCTTGTCTCTGTCAAATGAGTGCCTAGCTTCATAATTATTTAGAAAATTTTAAAACCATTTTTAAGAAGTTGTATTTTGTGTAAATAGTTGATTTAATATGATTTAAAATGTTGTTTTGCGCAGAAATTTCAGATTATAAAATAGTTTATAATGTGTTAAAATCAATAAGCTTTAAAGATGTAAGCATATTAATAAAGTTATTTTTACTGGTTATTAGTTGGTTGTATTTTATAGTTTGCTATTATTCGTCCGATGGAACAAGGTTTAAAAGTTACTTTAGAAGAAATGAAATGCACCGAAACGTCCGCTTATCTGCCTTGTAATTTATTTACTGTGTATAAATTAAACAGTGATGAAGAAATTAAATTTAAAATAAGTCTTAAAACTTTTACAGAAATATTGAATATTTATGGTGACGATGGAAATCCTAGTTTAAAATTGTCTTATAAATCAGTGGGGTCAACTTTAAACCTACTGTAAGTATTCAATCATAAAAAAGTATAACAAGTACAACTTTTATTTTCAGAATTGGTCATCCAGATGAAAATATAACTGTGGATTGTGAAATACGAACAATGAATGTTGAAGACTTTAACGACATTGGACTGGCAGAAGAATGCAACTTAAATAAAGTAGTGGTTAATGCAAATATATTGGTTGAAATTTTACATAGGCTTGATAATTCAGCAGATGAAATGAAATTGTCCTTAAGTCCTGATCCCCCATATTTTACATTAAGTTCTACCGGAATTGCAGTAAGTTTGCTTTCTCTTGAAAATGATTTCTATGGAAAGGAATAAACCAATCAGAGTGCAGCATCTTCCATAGCACACTAGGTGGGATGGAGAATGTTGTGCTCTGATTGGTTTATTGCTCTTTATAGAAAGTAGATGCAAATTTCAAGTGAAATTTTTAATTTTTGTTTTTTAAGGGTGAATCTGAAGTGAACATATCCAAACATTCAGAAAGTATAACAATTTTTCAATGTGCCAAAGCAGTAACAGCAATTTATACTTTTCAAAATATTCGACAAATTTTAAAAGTTATGAACTATGCGAATAAAATCGCAATTTCAACTGGGGAATCAGGATTGCTGGGATTACAACTGGTTATTAATCACGATGAAAAACAAATGTATGTGGAGCATTACGTTACATCCCAATTTTCTTCATTGGAAACTTGAATCTCTTATTATTTATTATTACATAAATGTAATCCTTTTTATTTATTTTATTAGTTTATAATATAAAATACCACCTTTTAGTTTTTCTTGGAACAAACCCTGCCCATTTTTATATACAAATCTTTTGATGTTGGTAGCCTTGCACAAAGTCGTTTCGCTTAACGTTGGCATCAATGTTGAATCATAGAAAACAAAGAAAACCTTATATGGTGTTCTTTGGAAGTATGCAGTGTTGCCAACCCTACAGAATTTTTGGTAGATCTACCTATTCCTGAAAAATTCTACCGATAGACATCAATATTCTACCGAAAATCTAAATCTTGCAATAATCCAAATAAATAACTTTTTTTAGATTAAATTGCATACAAATATTATACTTAAGTATTACTTGGACAACAGTATTATATATTTTTCACTATGTATTAAAAATGGTTTTACCAACATCACTTGTAGAAAAGTCGCACTACGACAGTTTTGCTAATTTCCATGAGACAATAAACATTCAACTTTGTGCAAAAGTAAGCAGCGTTTGTTCTCTTGATTTATGTTTATTATTAATTTTTTGTATTTGTATTTTTTACAATTTTATTATTTTTTGTTACATTTCTTTTTATAAATATTCAACTTATGTTAACTAATATGTGAACATAAGTTAAATATTATAGTGTTTTTATTGGATTTTTATTTTTAATAAATACTTTTCTATTACCTGTGTTTTTTTAACTAAAAATTACAAAGTTCATTTTTTTGTCTGGACTGCAGCAACGTTGCAAATTTAGGCTTTTGGTTGGTAAATACAGTTGTCAAGTTGGTCGCATTGATTATTAAACTAGTTATAAATCTAATTGTGGTTATGTATAAATTATTGTAGGTTACATTTTGCAATTGTCAAGTTGAGTTATCGAAATTCGTAGTTAAAAATGCAATTAATTTGGCTTTAGTGGTGCTTGGATGAGTAAATTCATATAAAAAAAAGTAGTTAAATATAGGTTGCTTTACGGCCCACAAGAGAAAGTATTCCTAGCTTTGAAAAGAATTTATATAAAAGAAAATAAAATTTTTTGTGAACGCAAATGTTGTCCAATGGTGAATAATGGGAAAATAATGTGTGATGTAATATTTATAAAACCAAATTCGTTACTTTTTTACTCCAAAAATGTCCAAAAGGCGATGTACTTTTTCTTTCATTGTGGCATTTTGCATAATTTTATCAAAATGAAGTTTTGCCCTCAAAAGGGCTTTTACATTCGAATTATTTTTGGCATAATTATCTTTTTATTTATAATTGACAAGTAAATTATGAATAATAAATATTATTGTCAATTTGACAGTGTCAAAGTACGTATTTAATTAAATTCTTTAGCAGAAGTACAATTTTTTAAATACTAAAAATACTACTCAAACTGGCATAAGCCACCAACCTTACAAAAAATACGAGTCCAGATAAAAAAAATGAAGCGTATAGGTATTTAAATCTACCGAGATTTTCCAAACAATCTACCGATAAAATGTTGAAAGAGGTCGGCAACACTGGAAGTATGATACAACTGGCAACGTCGACTTCAGGAGTAAATTTTCTTGCCCAATAAATTTTGCGAGTTATTTTAAAATGGGGGACACAAAACCTGCAGATTTGGGCGATAAAAAATCGTACGCCGGCATACCAGAGGCGGAATTTGTTGTACGTATGAAAACTCGGATTTATTCCGAAAATATAGCGGTGTGAAATTTCATAACCTAAATGTTCCTTATGATTTTTAATTTTAAAGGAGGACGTAGACGCGTACATGGGCAGAACCGAAAATAGCGGCAATGTGGACGAGGTGCTGAAAAAATTGGACAGTCAGCACGCCAAATACAAATTTATGGAATATAATTTGCTGTCGAAGAAAAAACGTCTGCAAACTCAGGTGCCGGAGTTGAAAAGATCTCTCACCACCATTGAAAAATTGGAGCAGCAAAAGGAGGAGTTTGAAGCGCAGTTTCTGCTAAGCGATCAAGTTTTCGCCAAGGCTTTAGTTCCACCCACAGAAAATGTGTGCTTGTGGTTAGGTGCAAACGTTATGCTGGAGTATACATTGGAAGATGCTAAGGGGTTGTTATCCAAAAATATTGAGGCTGCCTCCAAAAATTTAGGATATGTTGAACATGATTTGGACTTTTTGAGGTAAATGTTCTTGTTTTTTTACATTTTTTATTTAATATATGTTTTAGGGATCAATTTACGACAACAGAAGTAAATATGGCAAGAGTATTTAATTGGGATGTTAAAAGGCGTCAAGCTGCTAAGGCTGCATCTGGAAAATAGGTTTAAAACATTTTAAAACTGCCCCTCAAGCTACATGTGAAGCTGTCATTATTTACACCCTCTTTATACATTTGCATTTATTCATTTATAATTTGCTTTGTTGTCAGAATACCTAGTATTTATTATCAAATGTTTAATACATAATCAATTTATAAATGTTTTTTTTTTACTGAAATGGAACCATCATGGAAAATATAAAATAGGTATCAGCTGGTCCAAAATGTTAAGCAATTTTGAATAAATAATAAATCTTGTGAAGTTTATTTTAAATTAATTATATTATAGTAAACATTGAGCAAAATTCTTTTATATTTATCATAGATTGGGAACATTCAGATGGGAAACTTCTCTAAAGGCAGTATTACAGCCGGCAATTCTTCTTGCAGCAATTATTCTTGCCATCAAGTTTTCAAGGCCGTATTGCATGTTGTTTTACAGTCAGCAATGGCAAGACAACTTGCTGTTTATTACCGTGCTACCAACCGAACAAAAATATAAGATTTTGTAAACACTAAGTTTATTTGTTATTTAGTAGAGATATTTAAAAATTAATGAGTAAAATGGATACTAGAACTTTGAACAAAATGTCAACCATAAAACAAATAAGCTTAAACTGTTTAAGTCAAACAGCGTCTCTTTAGGGAATTTGTAGTAGGGTTGGTAACATAAAAGTTACCAGATTTCACCCCAGAATTGCCGTAAAACGGCAATAAAAATCCATCCGGACCGATTTTCGGCAATTGCAAGAGATTCGTCGAAATGTCTCAACCGCGCATGCCTATGGCAATTTTCATTGCAATTGCCGAAAGAATTGCCGGCTGTAATACGGCCTTAAGTAAAATTGCAACAAGTTGAGCGCCTCTACAGGATTTTTTAAAAATAAAATTTTTATCAAACTAATGTATACTATAGTAGGTACCTACTTTATTATAAAAAATTAAGTTTTATCAAACTCTTAACTAACTTTTGACAAGAGTATATTTTTTTTTAAAGTACAGAATTTTTTTTTTTATTAAAAAGTCATGGTCCTTTTAATCCTTAAAGAGTATGGTCCTTTTAATCCTTAAAGAGTATACAATACAGAGCGCCCTCTGGTGGCTACAGTAAATCCGAGTCCCTCGTAAGTTTTCTTATACCAAAAAACCCATTTTTTAAAATGTTATAACTATATTTTTAAACTTAATTTAAACACTGTCTTGAAAAGTAAGCGTTTGACGACCTATATTTAAACACACTTTGCATTCATTTTGAAAGTTCTATCAGGTTTTATGCGACAAAAAACTGAAACACCTTGTATATATACAGATCGGGCTGCCAATAGAAAAAGCTTTGCTATTATTCGTTTTACAAAAAAAACATAGGTATTCATAATAAAAACTTTTTTAAATAATTAATTACCTACCTAAGTACCTAATTAATTTAAATTTTATAGAAATTTCTGAGGTTTTAAAACTTCATAAAAAAATGTAATTGTTTAAATAATGGGACTCTCACTTGAGAGTCAAAACAAAATTTTAATAAACGCCGTGACTAGAAGTACACCGGGAGTACCGCTATTAAAAGTACATCAGGTTTGTGCGCATGCGTGTTTCCATAACAGCTGATGGTAAAATTTCGGATTTATTAGTTGGCATTAAATTGGTACACTAAGGCCCAGTTGTATAACAGTTGGTAAAGAGCTGGTTAACTCTTGATATTAATTATGTAATTATTAAGCTAACTTTCAAGTTGTATAAACATTGATTAAAATTTAATTAAGTGATTGAAATACAATTAACAACAAAATTAATGAAATGTCAGTATGAATTACCCAAACCAACCCAAACTCAACAACCCAACCCAACCGACCCCGCCCAGGGCTCCCAGCAGTCCATGTTGCGAGAAATAGTGACTTAAGAGACTAATAATAGAAAATAAACGACCAAATACAGACCAAATTAATTACCGAAATAACTATAAAATGGCCATTTTATAGTTATTTCGGTATACATTTTTTTGGGATAAAAGATCTAAATTTGAATTTAAAATATATAGAGATAACTTGAAATTATAAATTTTTATTGAATTAAATTTAACAAGTAACCATAACTGATATAAAATACATAAAAAATATTAAATTCTGTAATAAATTATAACTTATAATAAATAGAATCACATTTATATAAAAGGCACTGGCATCAGTCATTTAATGGGTTATATTTTTTTTGGTGGGCTGCAGCTGATCTATAATTTTCGCCTTTCGTTTTTCTAAATCTTGGGCAAGACGACTAATCTTTCCCCGCTTCTTTTTTGGGATGGTTCACCCCTTCAAACATTAGTTGAGCCATACATATTTTAACATTTTTATTTGTTTGCAACAATACGTTCTTCATGGTCTTTTTTATTAAAAATAAAACAATAATTCGTTTATTATTCCTTTTCCCGAAAACGGTTTTTTATTTAATATAAAACAATAATTCGTTTATTATTCTTTTTCTCGAAAACGGTTCATTTTATTGACAATAAACAAGAGTACCTTTATTTTAGTTTAAGGTTCACGCTACGCAAATTTAGTTTTTTTAAGTCTTTACATACCCTGGTAGAAAATAACGTTTACATACATTCAGACAACGTTGCAAATTTGTATAATAATTTGTTATACTCATAACGTTGTCTTAGTGTATCATTTTAAGTGGAAAATACGTAGTTAAAACGTTGTCTTGGAAACGTTATTTTAATGTATGATTTTAAGTGGGAAATACGTAGTTAAAACGTTGTCTTGGAAACGTTGCAGAATTGTATTGCTGGAAACGTTGCAGCAACGTTCCAAATCCCACGTTTAGATACATAAAATTATTTCTAAGTCCCGACGAAAATTTTTCAATGAGGATTTTTTTTTAATTTTTATACTTTATTATACATTATTTATAAAAGTAAAATAAAACTCTTCAATTCATTTTCAAAGTCATAATATCAAAAATATGAGCGAAATACACAAAACCCACTTTCAAACAACGTTGCAGAATTGTATTGCTGGAAACGTTGCAACAACGTTCCAAAACCCACGTTTGGCTACATAAAATTTTTTCAAAGTCCCGACGAAAATTTTTTTACTGAGGATTTTTTTTCAATTTTTTTCAATTTTTTTTTATTATACATTACTTATAAAAGTAAAATAAAACCCTTCAACACATTTTCAAAGTCATAATATCAAAAATATGAGCGAAATACACAAAACCCACTTTCAAACAACGTTGCAGAATTGTATTGCTGGAAACGTTGCAACAACGTTCCAAAACCCACGTTTGGCTACATAAAATTTTTTCAAAGTCCCGACGAAAATTTTTTTACTGAGGATTTTTTTTTCAATTTTTTTTATTATACATTACTTATAAAAGTAAAATAAAACCCTTCAACACATTTTTAAAGTCATATTATCAAAAATATGACCGAAATACACAAAACCCACTTTGAAACAACGTTGCAGAATTGTATTGCTGGAAACGTTGCAACAACGTTCCAAAACCCACGTTTGGCTACATAAAATTTTTTCAAAGTCCCGACGAAAATTTTTTTACTGAGGATTTTTTTTCAATTTTTTTTTATTATACATTACTTATAAAAGTAAAATAAAACCCTTCAACACATTTTCAAAGTCATAATATCAAAAATATGAGCGAAATACACAAAACCCACTTTCAAACAACGTTGCAGAATTGTATTGCTGGAAACGTTGCAACAACGTTCCAAAACCCACGTTTGGCTACATAAAATTTTTTCAAAGTCCCGACGAAAATTTTTTTACTGAGGATTTTTTTTCAATTTTTTTTTATTATACATTACTTATAAAAAAAAGTAAAATAAAACCCTTCAACACATTTTCAAAGTCATAATATCAAAAATATGAGCGAAATACACAAAACCCACTTTCAAACAACGTTGCAGAATTGTATTGCTGGAAACGTTGCAACAACGTTCCAAAACCCACGTTTGGCTACATAAAATTTTTTCAAAGTCCCGACGAAAATTTTTTTACTGAGGATTTTTTTTTCAATTTTTTTTTATTATACATTACTTATAAAAGTAAAATAAATCCCTTCAACACATTTTTAAAGTCATATTATCAAAAATATGACCGAAATACACAAAACCCACTTTGAAACAACGTTGCAGAATTGTATTGCTGGAAACGTTGCAACAACGTTCCAAAACCCACGTTTGGCTACATAAAATATTTCAAAGTCCCGACGAAAATTTTTTTACTGAGGATTTTTTTTTCAATTTTTTTTTATTATACATTTCTTATAAAAGTAAAATAAAACCCTCCAACACATTTTCAAAGTCATAATATCAAAAATATGAGCGAAATACACAAAACCCACTTTCAAACAACGTTGCAGAATTGTATGCTAGAAACGTTGCAACAACGTTCCAAAACACAGATTTAGCAGCATAAAATTATTGTAAGTCCCGTCGACAAATTTTGGATTTGTGGATTTTTTTTTAAATTTTTATCCTTTGTAACATTAATAATAAAAGTAAAATCAAACTATGCAATACAATTTTTAAAGTCATAGTTTCAAAAATAAGGCCGAAATACACAAAACCCACTTTCAAACTACGTTGTAAAATTGTATTCTAGAAACGTTGCAGCAACGTTCCAAAACACACATTTAGCAACATAATAGTTATTTATGTATTAAGGGCATAATAAGGTTTTTATGGTCCGAGGCGCTATTTCGAGCCCGAGCGCGTTAGCGCGAGGGCTAGAAAAGCGTCGTAGGACCATAAAAACCAGTTATGCCAGCAATGCATACAAAACTTTATGCACGATTAATATATTATTATTTTTAATATATTATTGTTTTTAAAGACGTTTACGTCAAAGAATTTTTGTTATAATTGTCATATTATAATGTCAACTGACATCAGTCAGTTTTAAAGTTTAAAGATAAATGAAATTGAGGAAGCAGCTGAAAAGGCGAAAAATTTCGGCCTGCTGCCGGTAAAATCAAAATCTTTATACGAAAAAACTTACTTCGAATATATCAAATGGTGTAACATTGTTGTTTTTAATTTTTGACGTTTCATTATAGTCCGCTGGGCCATAATAACGCCCGCGGGCTATAAAAAGACGTTTACGTCAAAGAATTTTTGTTATAATTGTCATATTATAATGTCATCGTGCATAAAATTATTTTAAGTCCCGCCGGCAAATTTTTTAATGTGGA